TTACTTGTATTACCTGTGCCTGAATTATCTGTATTACCTGTATCTGCGTGCGTACCTATATTTCCTGAGATACAAATACAGGTAGAAGATACAGGTAACAGCAAAAAGGCACAGTTACAGATGCAAATAATAAGAAAAAAGTAAAAAAAAAGAGAAGATTCCAGCGCTGATGAAACCTATTGATAGGCATCAGATGAAAAGATCTTCGGGTTATTTCTTATAATCTTATTGCTATAGGTAGCTGAATCTTTCTTTTTTTTTTTTTATAAATCTGTACAGATTCAGGTATACCACTACAGAATTATTATTTAGCCATGATTCCAAACCAAAACACAAATTTCAGTGCACTAACAGGTAAAGCTCCGAACCGAACTAGAGGATTGCCGTTTATTCAAGAATAAAATCAATAAAGGATAAAAATAATAAAAAAAAATTAGATTCGAAAAAAAATATTGTTTTAAAAAAAATTTAATTGTTTATTTATTTATGTACATTATTCACATATATTTTCATGTTTTGTCTGGAGTAACAAGATCTGGACAATAAATAACATTTTAAAGGTAAATTTAAAAATATAACGGTTTCATACTGTATTTTCAACACATGTTTTGACCGGGTCACGAAAAAAAACGGTTTCATACTGTATTTTCAACATTGTTTTGACCGGGTCACGAAAAAAAAAAATTTTTATATGTTCTTTTATATATTTTTTTTTTATATTATAAAGTTGGTTCATAAATATAAAAAAGATAAACGTTTATAATATTTAATAAATAAAAAACATTTAATTTATTTTTTTTTTATTTTTTTTATAATTTTTTTTTTTTTATGATAGGTCAAATCTTTTTTGAAAGATAATTAATATTTAAGTGTTTTAAAAAATAATTTTTTATTTTTGATATTTTAATTGAAAATTTTCAATATTTTGTTAAAACACCTCTATTTTTAATTATTTCTTTGATTTTTTTTGGGATTGGTTGATATAAATTAATATTTTCTTGTTAAATAACATACATATTTTTTCTCAAATAAATCTTTAAAATCCACTTGAGAATACCCTATAATCTTATGAATCAAACGTATTTTAACACTCACAATAAATTTTCAATAATTATGAGGTCTATAGAGTATTTTGGGATCAATATGACATCAATTCTATTTATTTTGTAAAAATTTTGAAAAATTTCTAAACTATTAATTGGAAAGTTATCTTGTAAATCATTAATATCTTAAAAATTAAAGCAATATTCGCCAAGCTTGGGACCATACTTATCGATCAGTACCATAAAATTTGTTATCTATTTGTATTAATATAAAAAAAATTGTATAGAACCTGCACCTCTCATAGAAGAAAATTAACATGTATTCACAGAAACTCCAGTTGGTCTCTTTCTTGATAGAATATTATTTGAATGTTATCTTTAACCTTAAATCTATTTTTTAATTTCCAATTAATAAAAATATAGTTCAAATCAAGTTTCATCTGCAAAAACTACCCTTTTCCAAAATTCCACTGTGAGTCACTAAATTGTATGGCCCATTGATATCAACTAAATGTGGGTATTTAATTCTAAACCATGAGGTTAAAGCACCTGAATATGAGCCACCGAATGAGACCCATTTGGTAGTTGATGGAATATTATATTTTTGAGCAATAAATTCTCTGAAGACTGCATTATCAGCTAAAGCTTGTTGACTATTTAAAAATTGTAAATTATCTAATGATAAATCTGATGTTACAAAACTCTATAAATCGTTAATAATAATAATAATAATAATAATAATAATAATAATAATAATAATAATAATAATAATAATAATAATAATAATGATTGTTAATAATAATGATTTTATTTCTTTTTTATCTATATATAAATCTGACTACTTACAGCACCATAATATCTGTGTTCTAAACTAACAATTAAGGCATTGAGTTGTTTAGCCCAAACAACAAATTGTAAACCAGTAACAGTATCAAGACCCATTGGACCTTCACCATTAATCTAATAAAATAAAAATAATGAAAATTAGTATACTGTACAGTTTTTTATGAAAATAACTTTTTTTATAAACCTACCATAATGAAAACTGGACCAGTGCCATCATAATATTGGTCATTAATTAAATATCTTTGTTGAAAAGTATCAGTGTTAACAATGTTGAAATGATCAACATTTTGGGTGAACCATTGATAGTTGATTGCAGATAAATCTAAACCACTGTCGATTTTTTGGGTACGTAATGGTCTTCTGAGATCTCTGTGTGCATTGAAGCCTCTTTTGGCATCAATTGAGTTTATTTCCTCTTTGCTTTTTTTGTGAGATAAGGCTTAATTTCAAACTTCAGAATGTAATAACTTGGCAATGGAGTGAGCTTATTATTGTGTTATTTAAAATTTATGTATTATAATTCTTCCGAAGATATCGTTTAATTTGTAGAATATTATGATATATCTCGTTTGATAATAAAATGTTTTATTCTTTTTACATTGCCATGCTATTGCTGTACATTGCCCATTTTGACCATATTTAATTTCACCAACTTCAAAATTAGTTTTACGTTTATTTTGATTGATAAACTGCTGGAAAACATCACCAGCTCTATTGGAGGCAACTGATATAATAATAAAATAGTTGTTTTTATAACATTTTCATATTCTGTATACTACCTAACAATCCAGCATCAATGATCATACAAGTGAATGGTCAATTTTTGATCAAACTAATTTCATTTAATATTTAAAATTTCTCCAATAGGTGTCTAATTTTCTTTTGTATTTTGGTTGAATATAAAGTAAATGAACCATTACCGTTGTTGTTGGTATTATTGTTATTTGTATTCATTTTTGCGAAATATGTAAATAGGTTATATTAAAATAATAATTAAATAGATATATAATAAATAAAAAAAAGAAAAAAAATTGGTTTTTTAAAAAAAATTTATAAAATTTTAAAAAAAAAAATAATATTTTTTTGGGCCAATTTATAATATTTTAAGGGTTAATAAAAGTAAAAATTTAAAAAAAAAAAGTGTGTTTTAAGTTTAAAAAATTTAAAAAAAAAAATTAATAATAATGAATAAATAAAATATAAAAAAATTGTAAAAAAATTAAAAGAAGGGTAAATTATTGTGTACTTTTATTTTACATCTATTGGAAAATTTTATAAAAAAAAGAGATAATTTTTTTTTAACATAATAATATTTAAAATTTTTATTATTTATTTTCAACAAAATTCGAAATTTTTGAAATCTTTTGAATATTTAACTAAAGAAAAAAAATCATCATTGAAATCGACATTATTTAAATATCCTTTTTGATGATAATATCTGAAGACATTAAAATTACGGTATTGCACAAGTTTTACACAAACAGAAAGATTTATAAAAAAGTATTTTGGAAAATGTTTCATTAATAATTCTGCTATTTTAAAATCGGTGAACCAATGGAAATGATCGGGTTCTGGGCAATAGTGACTGAAAAAGAGTTCTACTTGGTCAGGATGATTTTCGACTGCATATTTTAAAAAGTAGAGTTGGGATTCAAAAATTGAATAAAGGTCTAAAGGTTCCAAATAAAGGTCTTGTTCTCTAAAATTTTTATAGTTGTCCATGATGAATTTAAAAACTAAAAAGTTATCTTCATCAACGGCAGTTTCGAAAACTTTTTGATAGGAAAAGTTTTCGATCTTTAAATCTAGAATCACTTTAATTTCTTCAACATTTTGACAGGTCATTAAAAATGAAGATAGATGATATTCCCAATTTTCGTGGTAATTTCTTGAACGAAAATCTGGATCTCCATCTTCGTCGTCATCTTCTGTTTCCATTTTATCTAATGATTTCAAATGTAAATATTCTTTTAAAGTCTTGATATATAAATCATTTCTACGAATATTTATAAAGTATAAAGAATATTTTGCGAAAATTTTAATTCTACCTAACCTTTCTAACAAGTAGTCAAATGTTGAAATTGAAATTAAATTGAAATCAAATTCTGAAATATTGAAATCGGTCAATACATTTTGAATTGAATAGTTTGAAGGGTTTCTAGCGGCTTCGCTTAAATTTGAAAAGTACTCTGGTATATGGTAGATATGGTTTAAAGGAGAAGTGTGATACAAATCGATAAAATATAATGTTAATTTAGTTGATTTGTTCGTAACCCAATAGAAAACGTTGAAATAGTCGATATCGATTTCAAATGAGTTTTCTTGATACAGCGGATGAAGTTGATTTTTAAGTTTGTCGATTGTACAACCATTTGATTGAATAATTGCCTTATAGAGATATTTGTAAATAATTTGAATTGGAAATTCTTTTTCATCTGCTTTTGGTAATTTTGATAATAGGAGGTTTATGAGTTTTAAAATTGAATCATATTTATGAATGGTGTCTAAAGAAGTTTTACTAATATTGAATGAATAGGTTTTTTCATCCTTTAAAACCATGTGTAAAAACTTTTTAGGGTTGATTGGTACACCACCTCCATTTAATAATAAATTTGTAATTGGAAAATTTAATTTATAAATTGAATCGAATAGTAATTGGTGAAATAAATCTTCATTTAGTTTCAAACTAATTAAATTTCTATTATCTTGAATCTCTTGATCGGTAAACAAAGAGAATAGCTTTATGATTTCTTTATTTTCATCAATTTTCCCATTAGAACTTTCAAAAGGTATTGATACTTCATTTTGATCTATTTTAAATAACAATGTACCAAAATACTTGAAAAATAAATCTGGACTAAAACTTTTGAATCCTGTGTTTGATAAATAATTTAAAAGTTGCTCTCTTGAATTTTTATCTTGATATAATTTACTTGAGAAAATTTTTGGTGCCAAATTCTCTTTTTTAAACTTGAATATAGCCTCTTTATAATCAAATTCTTTATATTTAAATACCAAGCCTAGTTTATCAATTTTTTTTAATGTTTCTATATCACAGTCCTTTATTGATTTATCGAATAAATAATAGTAGAGATGGTATCTTTTAATTTCATAATATTCTTCATTATCGCCAATACTAATGATTTCATCGGTTTCCATGATGCCTTCTAATGGATATTTATTCCTAAGCTGTTTTAATTTATGGCTAAAATATTCGATTAATTCTATTGATGATAATTTAAATTTTTGGACATATTCTGTTGAAACTGTTTCTTCATAAAATATCTCTTCATATGCTAGATTTTGATTGGATGTAACACTATTGGTTTCACTTTCGATGGATTGCGGAATTAACCTTAATTTTGAATAGTGTTCAAAAATAAAATCGATCATTTTTTTTGAATTGATTATAAATGGAATTTTGAGAAACTTTTTAATTTTGTCACCTGCTAATCTTGGGAATAATTTATTTTTTTCTAAAAACCATTTCCATACATGTTGATTTATATCTTTGGGTTGAAGTTTAAAAAAATAATGAGATACTTTTGAATTTAAATGTGAGAAACCATCTTCAAAGAAATTTAAAAGTTCATAAACTTGATCTTCTGACATTTTATTGATATCATCATAAATTTTACCGGTTACCAATGATCTAAAAAACATTTCATTCCAATAAGAACCTAATGAACCATTCTTTAAATTAAAATATTCTGTAAAATATTTTTTTAGTTTTTCTTGAGTTAAAACTAAATTTTTTGTATCAGCCCAAATAGAAACGGATCCATGAATTCTTGATACTTTTAAAATTGATAATGCTTTTAAACTAAAATAATGTGATGAAATATATTGGATAGATAGTAAATTTTTTTGATACAAGTCTTGGACTATTTGAAAAATTTTATCTTCCTTTTCTTCTATTTCTTGATCACTGAATGTTTTACCTTGTTGAATTTCGTTACTTAAATGCTCGATAAAATAAATACCATAAAATTCATAAAATAAATTAGTTGGACAAATTGAATCACATTTTTGTAAAATAAATGAAATAATCTCTTTTTCTTTATCTTGAGTAGATTCGATGTTTGATATTTGTTTATAAAGAATTTCTATTTTATCTTGGTTATCAATAATATAATTTTGAATTTTTAAATAATCCTCATCCTTTTGTGAATTACGAAATAATAATAATGAAGCTTTGAGATAGCTATTTAAAACATTAATACTAAATTGATTATTATTATTAATTATTAAGGTTTCCAAAATTTTTGATTTTAAAATTTCCTTTAATGATGGTGAGGGTGTTGTTTTTCTGGCTGTTGATTTGGTTCTTGCCATTATTATTTATAGTTTATTATAAATAAATATTTTTTTTAAATAAATAATTAGATTTTTATGACTGTGAATAAATATAGATAATGAATGGTTAAAAAAAAAAAAAATTATTATTAAAAAAAAAATTAAAAAAAAATTGTTTTTAAAAAAAATTATTTTAAATTATTTTAAATTATTTTAAATTATTTTTTCTTTTTTTTTTCTCCATTTTAAATTAATTTTTGATGATGCGCAAAATCATCAAGATTTTTATTTGTGTTTTTTGTGATTGTATGGTTAAAGATAAACAAATAAATCTAATAAATCAAAATCAAAATTTAAAGTGTTATTTTGTTATTTTTATAGGAATTGGGTAGTTATATTTTGTGGGTATTGTTATTCGAGTAACAGATTGAGGAATAGTAGCTGGCTCTATTGGTTGATTAAATCCATAACCAAATTCTAATTTAGTGAGGTTGGGAATGGTTATTTGGGAGTATTTTTTTACTGATGGTGGTATTGAATTAGTTTGAAGTCTAATTGGACCATAACCAATATTTGATTCGAAATAAAGTTCTGTATTTGATGACGGTTAATCATATTCCAAATAATTTATTTGAATGGTTTGCTATAACTAAATGTTTTAAATTATTTGGGAATAGATGTTTATCAAGATTATGATTATATGATTTTAACTCTAAATGATCCACATTTGGCGGTATTACTTGTGGTTCTAATGGGTGATTATATTTATCTAAAATGAGTTTAGTTAATGATGGAGGAAGTACATTTGGTTTTATTACTTGATTAAATCTCATCAATCTTAATGATTCAATTGAGGGTGGGAATGTTTCGATCGATATCTCTTGATTAAATTCTCGTAAATAGAGTTCTTTTAACGAATGTAGCGAAGATAGATAGTTGGATAAAGGGTGATTAAAGTAGCTCATACTTAGTTCAGTTATTGATTTTGGAAGTACACCGTGTGATAGTGGGTGGTTATATGCAACTAAAATGAGTTTGGTTATTGATGGTGGAAGTACATTTGGTTTTATAATTTGATTAAATCTATAAAAAATTAATGTTTCGATTGAGTGTGGAAATGTTTGGATTGATATCTCTTGATTAAAGTTATCTAAATAGAGTTCTTTTAATGAATGTAGTGCTGATAGAGAGTTTGATAATGGATGATTAAAATTGTCCATGGCTAGATCGGTGATTAATTCCGGAAGAATATTTGGTTGGAGCGGTTGATTGTAAGATGCAAGATATAGATCTATACATGTTATGGGTAAGTCACCGGGTTTCAAAGGTTGATTAAAAGAGGGTAGAAATAACTCTACAAATGAACCAAATGAACCGGGTATAATTGCTCTATCAAATTTATATTGCCTTAATGTAGTTAATGATTTTGGGAAAGTTCCAATAGGTATATCTTGATCTAGTACCATTGATAAACTAGTAAGTGATGGTGGTAATGTATTTGGTGAAATTTCTTGATTTATACCGAGTCTTAATTCAGTAACACTTGATGGAACAACTGATTTAATATCGATTTGATGAGAATAATAATTATGATTGAATTTTAAACAAGTCACCGTTGTTGGAATATCGCCTGCTTGAATTGGTTTATTAAATTTATCAATGAATTTTAATTTTGCTGTACCATAGGGTATTAATTTACCATGTGGCTCTAATGGTTCATTAATATTAATTCTAATTTCTGTTGCATATCTTCGATGTGGATGGTATCTAAGTTGATCCATTGATTTGTCAATATGAATTATTTTATTTTTTCTATATAACCTGTGATGTCTTTGTATTTCGCATAATAGATACTTGTTTCTCCATACTGAAAAAAATAATTTTTCATTTTTATTATCCGTTTTTGTAATTGAATCTAAATTGTGTGTGTAGTTATAATTATTATTTATTCTATTTTTACTTTTAATCATTTTAAAAAAAATTTTGGTTTTTGTTTGTTTTTTTCACACAAAAATGAAAAAAAAAAATTTTTTTTAATCAAAAAAATATCTTATTTTTGGAAAAAATTAAAAAAAAAATAAGTTTATTTAATTGATAAAATAAATAAATAAGTTTTAAAAATAAGTTTAATTTAAAATTGATAAAAAAATATATTTTTTTTTTCTTTAAAAAAAAATTAAGTTTAAATTTTAAGTTTTGTTTTTTTTTTTTTTTTGTTTTATATAAATTTTTTATTATTTATTTATTCACCATTTATAAAAAAAAAAAATTATAAAAAATAATAATTTAAAATGAACCACCAATTGCTACTTGATGGCTTATCAGCAAGCTTAAGTGGATATCAACTTGAAAAAAAAGGTTATAGAAAAAATCAATATTGTTTAGATGCAGATACTATCCATAAACAATGTTTATCGAGAGGATACCTAGGGAGCATTTCAAAAACAAGTAGTTTACAAAATATGACAATTTATGTTAAAACTATTACTGGTAAGAAATTAGAATATAAACAAATAACATCAATTACTAAAATTATTGAGTTTAAAAATATAATTTCAGCCTCAGGGGAAGGTGCTCCTCCATCACAACAACGTTTAATGTTTGGTGGTATACAAATGGAAAATGAAAAAACATTTGGGGATTATAATATCCAAAGTGATTCCACACTACTCCTGGTATTAAGATTGAGTGGGGGTGGGGATCAAATATTTTATATTGATGATAAATTTCTTTCCCCTAAATTCAATCATGATTTTACAAATATAGTTGATAATGGTATTTTTATCAGAGGTGGAGAGATTTATAAACGTCCATGTGGCTGGATGAGATTTGCTATAAATGTTGAAGGAATATTTTCAAGTGAAGGAAGTGAATGGTTAAGCTTTGATAACTCACCAGGTGAATGGCCAGTTTCTTATCATGGTACCGGTAGATCGGAATCTGGTTCTATTGCAGAAGATGGTTATAACTTATCAAAATGTAAAAGATTTGCTTTTGGAGTAGGCATTTACTCTACACCATTGATCGAATGTGCAGAAAAATATGCAAAGTCCTTTATTAACGGTGGTTACAAATATATTGTTGTATTTCAAAACCGTGTAAATCCAAAAACACTAATAAAAATTTCAGAAGAAAAAACAAAAGATGCGGCGTATTGGATTTCACCAACAGAAAAAGATATCAGACCATATGGTATTTGTATTAAAAAAACATTAGTTTAAAAAAATGTATATTTTAAGAATATATTTTTCTTTTTTATTTATAGTCATCATCAATATTAAAAACTCTGTCCATTTATTATTACTTAATAGTTTAAATATAAAAATAAAAAATATTATAAACTCTTTTTTAGAGTTATTTTAAATTTAATAGGTTGTAAAATAGTTTTTTTTCAAATTGAAACAAATTTTTCTGAAAATATTTATTTATTGCTATTTTTTTTGTTAGTGTTTATAATTGATTTGTTTAAAAGGTTTTCATGTTGTAGTTGTTGTTTGGTTATATTGTTCTGACATATTCATGATAGTTTGTTCTGTGTATGTTGAATGAAATTGTTATAGATGCAATTAATACTTATTATTAAAATTATTAATTATTATAATTAAATGATTTTTTTTTTTTTAAAAGTGAAGATAATTAAAAGAAAATGCTTTAAATTAATCAGTAAAATAAAATTTTTTTTTTTTTTTTTAAAAGTGAAGATAATTAAAAGCAAATGCTTTAAATTAGTAAAATAAAATTGATGATAATACAACAATTTTTTACTGATGGTGGTATTAATACAAAATCTCTAGGAAGAAATATAAATTTAAAAAAAACTCCCCGTCCGGGAATTGAACCCGGGCCTTTCGCGTGACAGGCGAAAATCCTCACCACTAGACCAACGGGGATGAGTTTGAATTTGAGTTACAATTAACTGAAATATAGTGACTTTTTTGTATTAATTGCAAAGAAGTTGTGCAACCAGGAGAGACCATATGGAAATATAGAAGATAGAGTCAACGAGAACTACTTAAAAATCTTGTGAAATAGCCATACAAGCTAACAAAAAAGAACATCAAAAAAAAAAAAAAAAAAAATTTAAAATTCGATAACCTGAAAGTAAATAACTAAAAAAAATTATAAAAATAAATAAAAGTCGTATTAACCTTTGCACTCTTCATATTGAAGGGGTAAGGCAAAGATTCGTGGTTAGCAATTAATACAAAAAGAACAATTAAACTAGGAATTCAAATTAATAGTTAAATTAAGAAATTTCCCTTTTTCTAAGTTGGTCACCTCAAGCCTTAGTGCACTTTATTACATAAGTCGGAAGATATAAAGTTGGAGTTCAAATTAATGGTATAAATTAAGAAATTTCCCTTTTGTTAAGTTGGTCACCTCACGCCTTAGTTGTGCATAACTTTATTACAAATAAAATGAATATTGAGTGCCTGATTCCGGAACCCCTTTGTTATTAAAGGTAAAAAGAATGAATTATAATTAATTATTATTGGAGTATTTATATTAAAAAAATAAAGTTGGTTTTAAAAAAATAAATTCTATTATCACATTTGTTTTCAAATAATTTAAATAACAGAATCAAATAATTATACTTTTATCGCTTATTTATAATAAAAATAAAAAAAAGTTCATTAAAATTTTTTCTTTCAAAAAGATGAAGTTTTAAAAATAATTATGTTGAAAAAACTTAATTTATTATTTATAGTTATTAAATTTAGTTGCTGCTTGAAGAGATATTCATGAAGCATGATGTTTTATCGTCAATGTAGCATCTTACCGATCTATCAAAGAACATAACATAGTCTGGATTTTGTTCCATTGAACAACCAATTGATTCGAGTGATGTTTCTGGATCATATCTTTTATTACAAATAACATTTTGATTGAATTCAAATTTGTGATTGTAATCATCGCCATTGGAGCAGAAAATGAATTGATGTTCATTGTTTTTAGCAGTTAAGGTATTTGTTTCTTTGTTATAGTTGCATTCTAATTTTTGATCTGTTAAATCTAAAATTTCAGTAATACCTTCTAAAGTTCCAAGTGAACATCCACTAAGTTCTTGGTTGTCTAGATAACATCTAACAGAATCTTGGAAAGTAATTAAATCGCCATTATTCGAACATTCTATTGTTGTTGAAGATGTATTTGTGCAACTAAAACCACTTGTAAATATATTTGATGAACCGGTACTATCAATACATGTTATGGCTTCATTATTTGGATTGCTAAAAGACAAAATTGTATCGATTGGGTTATAAATGCATTTTTTAATATCTTCGCTACCTGTAGATGAGCCTGATCCACCCGATCCACCCGATCCACCCGATCCACCTGATCCACCTGGTCCACTAGTTGGGAGAAGTGTTGTTGATGTTCCACCTGTGCCACCTGAGACACCTGTACCACTTGTACCATCTGTGCCACCTTCACCACCCCCAGTACTACCACCTGTAGTAGCACCACCTGTAGTAGCACTACCTGCGGCACCACCTGCAGCAGCAGCAGCACCCGCAGCAGCTCCACCTGAGCTACCTGAAGAAGTAGAGGTTCCATCACCATCACCACCACCATCATCACCACCATCATCATCACCACTACCCTTACTACTATCACTACTATCACTTGAATCTTCATCTTCATAAGTATATTGTGACTCGGTATCCTTAGAATTGAATCTAAGGGTTAATTCTTTTGTACCTGATTCTTCTCTTGAAACTGAAGGTACAGTGCATGTTACAAGTTGGCTTGATACAATACGAACACTATCACAACTTGAAGAACCAATACTAATTGTTAATTCAGATTCCTCGCCTTCTAAACCTAGATTTTTACCATTAATTGAAATTGGAGTTTTAAGATTGTATTTTCCACTTGATGGTGAAACTGATGATATTGATGGATCAGAGTATGAGAATGATGTATCCTCATTACTTTCTTGTCCATTTAATTTTACTTTAATTGGAGTATTTGATTTATAACCCTTCTTTGATAAAATAACAATTGTTTCATTTGTAGCTTTACCTACAGTTGTTGCACTTTCACCATTGAATAATACTGAGAGATCATCTTCGTTTTCACCTTTTTCGATAAAGTTACCACCTTTGATTGTGATTTCATCTCCACCATCAAATGTTGTAAAAGATGGTTTTGAGATACTATCAATGAATGGTTTACCATAATATTCAAAGGAAATATCGGTGTTTGAATCTTGGCCAGCAACCATTACTTTTACAATTTCTTTTCCAACTTTATTTGATTTTGGCAAATTGCATGTTAAATCTTTATTGTTAAATTCGACCTGTGTGCAATCATTGTCACCAATTTTAACGACTTGATTATCTTTACCGAAATCATAACCCTTAATTGTTATTTTGACAGTATCGTCACTATTGGATCTATATCTATTTGGATTAACAGATTCGATTGTTGGTGGATAATATGAGAAAAATTTATTTGATTCAGTTTCTTGATTTTCTACTAAAACTTTAATTTCTAATTCTTTACCTTGACCTGATGGAACTCTACATTTAACTGCTGTTGAGTTGATCCATTCAATGATTAAACAATCGAAACCATCAACTTTAATGTTATTATTTTCATTTTGATTACTGTTGTATTGCTCTGCCAATTCTTTTGGTACAAAGTTTTGACCTGAAATTTCGATTGTGGTGGTACCATTTGTTGAACCGTTATAACTATTCTGATCTAAAATTGGTTTATCATAAGAGAAATAAATAGTTTCGTTTGATTTTTGATTTCCAACTGTAATTGAAACAAGATAATCTTTACCAACACCTGGTGATGGTTTACATGAAACATGGGTAGAGTTGATCCATTTGGTTTCATCACATTTAGTATCGCCAATTTTAATAAAGTTTTCAGCTTCATTAATATTACCATTATTTTGTTCAATAAATTCAATTGGAATAAAGTTTTCTCCAGAAATTGTAACTTCCTTGGTACCATTTGTTGGGGCTGTGTAATTTACATTATTCAAAACTGGTTTATCATAAGAGAAATAAACTGTTTCATTTGTTATTTGACCACCAACCATAACTTGAACTAATAAATTCTCACCAATACCTGGTTGTGGTTTGCATTCGATTGAAGTAGAGTTGATCCATTTGGTTTCATTGCAATAGTTTTCTCCAATTTTAATATAATTTAATGTTATATTTTCATTTTCATTATAATAGCTTGATAAATCCTTTGGAATGAAATTTGTACCATTAATTATAAATTGAACTGTACCGTTGGTTGGGGCTCTATAATAAACTTTATCTTCACTTTCTTTATCTGATGAAATATTAAGTGCTGGTGGATTATATGAGAATAAATATTCTTGGCTAACTAGAGATGAGTTTTGTTGACCAACAAAGACGACAATTGTATGATTTGCACCGATTCCTGGTGGGATTGTGCAATTAAGTTGAGTTGAATTGAAAAACTCGGTAAGTGCACATGTATAATTAGAACCAATTGTAACATTTGATTCCTCTAACCAGGTAATATCCGAATTATCATAGTAAGGGCTTAAAGTTTCAAATGGTGGGAAGTTATAACCATCAATTGTAATATTTAAACCACCATCAGTGTTTGATTGATTTAATGACATACTTTCGACATATGGCTCAAAGTAAGAGTATAAATATGTTTTATTTGAAACTTGAGTTCCATCAATAATCTCGATATCAATTGTAAGATTTTTGCCAATAAAAGAGTCAAATGAGCAATAGAAAATATCGATAAGTTCATTATAGTGTTGATATCCTATTTTTTTTAAATGGGAACAAATATTTGATTGATTTTCTTCATCTTCTGTGTCAAATTCATCTTCGCTACAGAAATATGAATCACAAGTAATTACACTATCTAAAATATAGATATCTGGTTGTTCATTTATATAAGAACCTAAATTTCTACCGACAATTACAAAATTATCTATATAATCTGTAACACTTGTATTGATCTGTGGATGATATATCACTTTATCAATAGTTGGGACTCCATAGTTAAATTTAAACTCTTCATCGTTTGTTGAATCACCAACTTGAACTTTAACGATTGCATAGAGATAACCATGTGGTGCAGTGACAATTATTTCTTTATTTGAGACCCATTCAACTGTTTGGCACTCTTTTTCTGAAAAATAGACTTTGGTTTCTCCATTATAAAAGTTGTTACCATAGATAGTAACAACATCATTATAAAAACCACTTGATTTAGATAGACTGGTTATAATTGGTTCTGAAATTGAAAAGTCATTATCTACATCTTCACCAAATTTCATGATTAAATTATTTAAATAATAAACTTTTATAATATTTATTTTACCATAACTGCTGGCTTTAATTGAAAAAGAATCAACTCCATTAATGCTTTTTTGGTCAAAGATTGTGTGAGTTAAATCTATTTCACCATTTGTAACTTGAATACCACTAGTTAGCTGAATACCGAATGTAAAGAAATTTTCACCAATGATTTGAATAGTTGAGTCAATCTCGACCGATAAATCGTTATTATTTGGATAGATAATTTGATTAACTTTGGCAACTGGGTAATTAAAGAAAAATTCTTTTTTAAATGAGTATTGATTCTCGTAATAATCCTTGGTATATTGATTATAAATTGTAATTGGAGCCAATGAGAAATCTGGTGTTGTGCTTAATGGTAATGAGCATGTTAATGTTTGGATATTGGTAGTTGGATCAGTTACAATACCATTGTAGTTAACATCACATTGAGTAGATTTGACTTTAACTAATGTTGTTTGATCAAATAATCTACCTTGGACCGTGATTGAATATTGACCATTAGCTGTGGTTGTAGTTGGGTTGGTGACTTGATCTACGATTGGACCTACTGGACATGATGTTAAAATTTTACCATTCTTAAAGTCTTGATATGATGATTCGATAAAACTACAGATTCTATTATTAATGAAAACAATTGATAAACCTATATTGGTTTCTGTTGATTTTGGAGATGAAAAATAATAAGTTGAATAACCTTTGGAATATTTAATAATGTTTCCCTCAATTACTGGAGAAGCAACTACCAATTTGAAGATATCAGCACTAACATTGATAATATCATACAAGGAAAAGGTTATTCTATTTGTATTATATGTGCATGTATTGACATCATCTAAAATACTTAAGGATGGTGTTTTAAAGTATTTTGCTAATAGTTGAACGGTTTGTTTTGATGAATCACCATTTAAATATTTATATAATTGACCTGAAATATGGTTTTTTGGTGTTGGATCTTTAACCCATCTATTTAAAATAAATGACTCAATAACTTCAAATGATGAGTAATTATTGAATTGGTTTAAACAACTTCCCATTAAAATTAAAGAACTCTTTAAATCAGTTTTACCATTTTTCTTAATGTCTTCTAATTCGTCTTTGGTTAATTGATCACATACATGATCACATTGATCGTAATATGAAAAATAATTATTTAAAGTTGATTTTAAACCACCAATATAGACTTCAATTGATAACCCAATACCTGAACCTGCTGGAACTTTACATTTAATAGTCTTTGAATCTACCCAAATGGTTTCTTTACATAAATTATCGCCAATTTTAACAGTACTAGGTCCGAAATACATAGCAACATTACTATCAGTTTCTGGATCAATTCCAACTGGGACGAAATTTTGGCCGTTGATGGTAATAAAGTCATTTTCAAATGAAATATATGGTGTTGGTGTAATATATGGACTATCATATGAGAAAAATTGGAAATGTTGGCCTCCTGGATAAGAATAATCTGATTTAAATCCACCAACTGTAGCCGAAACTGGGATTGTACCAATACCTTTTGGGACCATAGCTTTAACGTGGGTAGAGTTATACCATGTTATTGATTTTGAAATAACTTGGTTAATTTTAAAATTATTTGAGTTATCTGGTGGTATTTGATTAATTTGACTTGCTAATGATAATGGAACTAAGTTTTTACCAATGAAAAATAATTCCCCACCATCTGTCGAACCAAGACTTCTTGTATTTACTGATGGAAAACCATACATTACAGAATAACCACCTTGCTCAGGAGACTGGCCACCTACTCTAAAAGTAACTGAACCCATCCCAATACCTGGTGGTATTAAAACCTTGAAATCACTAGAACTTGTCCATTCTACATTTGAAACTTCAATACCACTAAAGTAAACATTAGTCTCTGGCCAAACTGTTGGTGGTGTTAAACCTTTATCAATAACTTCTTTAGTTGGAGGGAAATTACTACCACTAATGTGCATATATCCACCATCGGTTCCCATAAAATATTCGCTTAATTGGTAAAAGTATGGCCTACTATAACTATAGCTGATAACATCACCAGTTTCATCAAATTTGATTGTGCCTTTACCAACACCCAAAGATTTTTTAATACAAACAAAGATTTTGTATATGTTTGGGTTGAAATAATTTTCATTTGATACATATGCTTGTTGACTGAGACATGGACGATTGGCTACATATTGACCTTCTGGTAATCTTTCGATAATTGATGTTGGTACTTTATTACAACTACTTTCAAATTCGCAGTGAATTAATTCATTATTCTCCATGATGTATGGTTTAATAACTGAGTCAAAACCAGAACCAATAAAATAGAATCTATTAACTTCTGCTGTTTGGAATTCGTTGATTATAATTTTCTCTGATTTTCTCTCTATGAATGTGAATTCGAATTTTTTTGTTTGTGCACCACCAAATGTTTCGAGATAAACAAAACCACTACCTAAACCTCTTGGGATAATAACAATAATAACATCATCGGATCTGTTCATTATGGTACCATATGAAATTCCACTTTGGCTTGAAAAGACAATCCTATATGAGTCTGAAAGAAAACGATAACCAAGAATTTTAAAGTCTCCACCTGTATAACCGCTTGAGGAAGTTATACCTGATACTATGGGAAAGAAATAAAATGGACACTTTTCAAAAAATTTGGTAGATTCAGCAATGGCTCTTGTAGTTTCTTCAAAATAACAAAGTTTACCTTGATATTCAATAATTGCAAGACCGTATTCTTCAGAACCAAATTGTTTATAATATAGATTGGTATATGGATCACCAGTTCCCATGAGTAAATTTGATTGAGATGATGTAATTAGTTTAAGATCACTGGTAACATAAAACATATCTGATAATCTAATAGAACCTTTGGTCCTTACCAGCTGGGACTGTATGCCCAAGCATTTTGTGGAAATTTAATGCGGCATAACGTGAAAGAATATAATTTGCAGGTGGCAAAGATGTGAAAAGGTCTTTATAAACTTGTCCACTTGTGTAATCACCTTCGATACTGTTTCCAACCCATCTATCTAATAAATTTCTAATATTATATACCATAAACTCAGCTTGACAAATACCAAGACTTTGAAGTACGTTAACTATATCATTGGGGTCAGTAAGTTTTTTTTTTTCACATGTTAATACGCAAGGGTCTACATAAGGATTGGAAATGATGTCGTTTGAGATGGATTTGAGACATGCATATTTGGATTTGGCCTTAACTGATACATAATTTTTATAAACCTTGAAAGTTTCTAGAGCATAATCTATAGTTGAGTCACATTGTAAATCAATTGTAAAAGAAGAATATCTATAACCATAAATATCATCTGTATTTGGTGGAGGATCAAAAGCACTTGATACAAGACCATAATAACTAATTTGTAAACCATTTGATATTTTGGTAATAATTTGACTTTTTGTAATATCAGCAATAGGTGTTATTGAGCCTGTGCTTGAAACAATACATGATTGTGATGTTTGGAAACCTTCTCCACATCCTCCAAAAACACCATTACCAATAGTATAATAAATCTTATCGTTATTTTGAGGATTAATAAGTGAAAAAGGTTCTACGTTGACAGAGTTTTGAAGTGGGGATATGTCAATATGGTTACCATTTGTTGTTTCAAACAATTTATATGAAGGACAAGCATATTTTGTATAGATATATAAAATATAATCATTTGATGATGGATTTGTCATTTTTAAAACAGTATAAGAAGTTTTTGGGTCACACATAAGTACTAAACGGAGTACAGTACCAAAAGTTACTAGAACCATTCTTTGTAAACTATCTGAAAAAACTGTAGGGTTAATAGTTGGCTTATTAGCAATAGAAGTAACTTGAACAGAAGTACCAGATTTTGAAACGATGGCAGCATAAAGGGTAGTTGAAGTTGAAGCTCTAACTTTACAAAAGTCACATGGGTTAAAAATATTAAAGAAAACGTCATATTCATTTCCAGACACAGTAACTGAAGTTGAAAATGGATTACTTGAAGATGATAATGTCATTGGTTTGAGATTATATAGTAAACCATGGAAAATAAACATTGAATTAATTGGGCATGCATACTTGGTTTTAATATGGAGTTTAATGTAACAAGCATTAGTATTTGTAACCAATACTAAAGAATATTCTTGGGATGCATCGCATGTAAATTCAATTTCAAACTTTCTAACACCATTATTAACACTACATTCGGATTCGACAACATTTGAATAATATGCAATTGTTACACCATTTTCAATAAATGAATAATCTGATGATGATAAATGGCCTTGGAGTTTATAAGTTCCTGATTTTAAAACACATGATTGATACCATTCATTTTTAACAATATTATTACAAGAAGAGGTTGAACCAAATAAATTGTAATAGTATAATTCTTGACTACTTGCATATGTATATGGTGTTCCGGTTGAAGCTCTAAAAAATTAAAAAATTATTTAGTATAAAAATTCATCTTTGTTATTAATATGGATTCAAAAAATTAATTACCTTCTTAAAGCACTAAGGTCATAATATTTGCTTCTTGATGTATCATAAAATTTACCATTTAAATGATTTTCTAAATTTGGATTATTTGAGGCTGGACCACCACTTAAAATATAAGGTACTGGAGGACTAATTGCAGGTAATATTGGTGCTGAGGCTAATGGACATGCATATTTTGAATTTGCTTGTAAATTATAAAAATATTCCATAGCCCCTGTAGTGGTTTCAAATGCAGTTATTAGAGAATATTCAGTAGATGAATCACATCTTAAATCGAGATTTAAAACTCTTTGAATTTGGCTAAAACCTGCAGTAGGAACATATGAAACAACTATACCATTACTAGAAGCAATGGATTTTTGATTACCAAGACCTCCAACATGATAAATATTACCATTAATAAGTTGACAAGAGTGAAGATCAAGGATTGGTAAACCATATCGACAATATGGGGCCATTCTGCCAATAGCGTATGCGAGAGTATATGAAACTCCATTTGCAGACATATAAACCCTTCTTTCGTCTACTCTAATAAAATTAAACTTTTTTATAAATATTTTCTTTAAAAAATATATCAAAAAGATATATATACTTACTTTGTTAATTGAGTTAAAT